ATATATATATATATATATTTCTTTTTAAACCCAACAAATGGGTTGAGTCAACACTGACATCATAGTATAGTAGTACCCGTGTGCAAATTTTTTCAACACGTGCAATTATTATCTATAGTACAGCACAATTTTTTCACAATTATACCTCTCACTGAATTTTATGACACTGGTGCCAATCTACATCACAAGTTTTCAACTATGCAACTACAGTGAAAAGTAGGTCAGAAACATGAAAATATAACATTTGAAAGGGTAAAACTAGGCGCCCACAAAAACGAGTAAACCCCTATATCGTTCTTAACAGTGCAACCCCATTATTAGTAATTTAATGTTTATATTAATAAAAAAATTGGATCTTTTAGAAAATAGTTAAATAATATTTTTTATAATTAAAAAGCTTAATTTTTATGAATGCAAATTTTAAAACGGAAAATGAAGAAATTTTTTTTCAGAGTTCTAATTTTAAAATCAATTTTAACAAAAAAAATTCACGTCCATAACCCTTGAACTATCATTCTTCATCCACTTTATTTTAATTCTTTTTTACTTTATTTTTATTATATTTAAAAATTCTAAAGTGAGCAATATTTTATGAAGTCAAAAGCAAGGATTTTATGTAAAATCACCGACTATTTAAGTGAAAATTTACAGAAAGAAAAACAGTGTATTTGTGTTCAGCCGCCTTAGCCAGTCATGACTTTTGAGAAGACCTTTTCAGTGCCTCATTCGTTCAATGGTGAACAATTACATTAAAATTGTGAACAGTGTGCCCCACCACACACAAGCTCAACACGCAATCCAAAATGGAATTATTCAACTAGGCATAACCCAAACAACTGTTATGGGGTCCATTTCACATGGGATAGGATAAGCATAAGAAAATGATGCAATAAAGGACAAACCTTTCATTTATCCAAGAATTTTACCCACAACCGAACCACACACTCACCATATATTAGAAGACACTTCAAATATTATTTATGTAACAGTCTTACATAGAATAATAGTAAGTAACACATAAAAACACACAATCACAGAGCTACATATTGGCGACATACTAACATGCAAGTTTTTATTATATAAACCCATACTAGACCTGCCAACAAGCATATAATATTTAGTTCTAAGCCTACATTATTACATGTGAAGAAAATTGCAGTGAAACCCTTTTGGCCAAAGAAACTTCACATGATTAAGGATTTTTTTTCCCATGTTCAACCTGTCATTTTCACTGGTACCATATAGAAAAATCTGTCTGTTTCTGAAGAGCATCCATCCCTCCTCCTTGCATATCCTCCTTAAAATCAAAGGATGCCAAATCACAAGGGGACCCAAACATCAGATTGAAGTTGTTGTTGTTGTGATTGCTCTCAAAGGGTGCATTCAAAGCTTTGAAACGGTCAAATTGACCATCCTCCCTAGCAAACATGTGATGATTGTTGGACATGTTGGCATTTTGGTACAAGTTCCCCTCCATAGTGATTCCTTGACCATGAAAGAAGTTGTCCTGTTGCTGCTGAATATTTGGCTGAGGAAGGTTTGGATTTTCTGCAGCTACATGGTTACTGGAACTCAAGTACTTGTTGTTGTTGCTGCCTTGAACGTTTGTTTCATAGATTGTCATGAGATCATTGATCATTTTCTGGCCATCTTCTGGGACTCCGAGTCCGGTTAGATCAAATGAAGGTGGTGGAACCAAGTTAACAGCCTGAGTAGTAGATTTGGGTTGAACAAAGGACTGAGGGAATATGACTGGCTTGACCTCATTAACATGAAAATTTGGAACCCCATAATCTGAAGAAGTGCCTCTGTAGGGACAACTCATTTGATGATTGTCCCTAGAATTTCTGTCAGCAAAACCATTGCGAAGTTCACTATAAGGACAGTGAGGGTGTTCACATGTGTAACTTTTCTGATCCATTGTCATGTTAAACTCGCCAGAGATCTTCCTCTTTCGAATGAAATCCAAATTAGTAACAGCCTCTCCCTTGATTGGGAAACAAGGCTGCTGAACAGGCAGTCTTCCCCTCATTCTCTCCATCCCAAGATTGGATGTGTGGAGATTCTCAGGCTTCCGGTCTTCCACATCAAAGTTCGGTTCATCGTCGCCGCCTTCAACGTCATACTCGTTGCAGTCATTGATGACTATAGATCCACTGCCTCCAGAGGAGGCCAAAGGGGGGCAGTAATCAGGGTAAAGCTCTCTTGCCAAGGCCTCCTCTTGGTTGATGATTGCAAGCCAGGTGGCACTCTCCTTGGCCGTCATTTTATCCTGAAGGCACTTGGACTGCCTCACAAGCTTGCGAATTTTGGCAATATCAGGAGACATGTGCTTGATAACAGCAGTCAGAACACCAACTTTCCAAGCCTTCTTAAGGTCATGAGGCTTCTTGTAAGGTGGAGGGCCTTGATCCTTAGGTAAACCAATTTGGGGCCACCACTCTTCATTCCCTGTAGGCCACCATGGTGGAGGGACGCCCTTCTCCAACGGGAACCGCCGCTGAGGGGGGTCGCAGTGCTGCATGAGGGCAGACAAAAGAGAACCCAAGGTTGTGTCCTGCAGCTCTTGCAAGGTGTGAGGGGTAGGACCAATGGAATTGCATCCATCATTCTTCCCTGGAATTGCATTGTCAGCTTGGTACTTGGCTATGGCCGCGGGACCGTTGCGATCAAACCGGACTTTATCCTTCCACCATTCGCGAAGATTGTCAGATGCACCAGTCACAGGCTTCCCCTTCTCAGGAATTATGCCATAGACAAAGCCTTGAGCCTTGCAAACCTCCATCATCTTCAGCATGTACTTCAAGATTCCATCTTGAGCCCTTGACATCTTTTTCCTCCTGGCCTGTTCTTGGGACTGCCTCTGCTTCACAGCATCAACTCCTTCCTTACCTTTACTTTGCTCCTTCAATCGCTTGAGACGCATTTTGTCCCTCCACATCCTCCGCTCGAGCTCATCCACATCAATTTCTTCATCACTATAGTCATCCTCAACTATCGCCTCTGGTTCAGTTTGCCGGGCGGTAATATCCCCTTCTCCTAAGGGAGCAGAAAACATATCCAAATCCCCACAAAACCCCATGTCTTCAAACATCATCATCATTTCCCAAGTACAATTACCCCCAAGCCACCAAAAATATGGATTCAAATCACAAGCTTCTGATTATGCAACTAGCAAGCTGGACTTCAAACCCTTTAGCACTGTACACCAATCAAGTAAACAAATTTGAAACTTTTAAAACCGGTTCACCTGCGACAAACAGTAGAACACAGAACAATTAACACGGTACAAAAATAATACTTTTTCAGATAAAGAGAATCTCTAGATCAGAAAATATGCACATGAATAAAAAGACTCTCATATGGGTAAATCCCCACAAAAAGGATACGAAAAAAAATTCAATTTTAATTACAAGGATATATTTTCCCAGCTTATATTCACATACTACTAGATCAGGGATACCCTGATTCACAGATCAAACAAACCCACGATTCAAACATAAAAGCACAAGCAGCGTTCCCAGAGACCATGCCTTAATTATGATTCAAAATTATTCCTGATCAACCCTTCACGAAAAGGTTGCAGCTTTCAGGTAGAACAAAACAAACATATAGAGAAAGAAAGAAAACTCAAACATTAGATAAATTGTTATAACAAAAACACAACACAAGCTAATTAACCCACCACCCCTCCAACACATAGAGAATCATTAAGCTAGGAAAAGAAAAAAATTTCAACACGGTCAAAAGGAGACAGAAACTTTACAATAAAAAACCAAAAGGGTAATGGAAGCACCACCAACCCACACAACAAAACAACACAGGCCCATGAATCTGATTCACCAAGCAAGGAGCAAGAAGGAGCGGAACAGTGCTAGAGAGTAAGCAAAGATAGAAATGGATAGAACCTTACCAGAAGTTCAGGAAATGGGTCTGTGGTGGCCACAAGTCATTAGAAGAAGAAGAAGAAGAAGCAAAAAAAAAAAAAAAAAAAAA